TGCGTAGAATTAATTGGAATTTTTCACACACAAGCCTTGCTATATGAGCTCTCAAAGCATATAAAAATTATACGGCTTAAATGTGAAGTTGGGTGCAAAAGAATACAATTAAATCCTCTGTCGGGAAAAAACGACATGACTTTCCGAACAACCCTATATATCTACTGGCAGGATTAATTATAATATCCTTGGGCATTCGTTTTTTTACCCTGGAAACAACGGTACCATATGGGTTACCTAAAAATGTCCCTGATGTTGCTAAATCATTTTTGTGACTTGTATGTAATGCATGATTAAAAAATTGGATTGATTCAAACTGATTATGTCCACTATTGCATATCTGTGGTATTCAGGGGAAGACTGGGACTATTAACAGGCCCGAGAATTCTAGGAGTCAAAGGGCCTTTAAAGCCTAAAAAAAGAAGCTCAAGTTTGCTTTCTCTCTCATGTGTCAAAGATTATCATTCCCGGGATTATTGGGTTAAAACGCTTCTGTTTAGGCATGCAGGAGCCCAGGGGGAAAATTTCCCAAACTCCCGTTTGGCTAGTCCGTCCCTGGTGGTACTAAATCTTATTCCTCACCTCATTATGTCACTTCCTACAAGTTACTTCAACAGAAGCTGTTGTAGTAGACAGATTACTGTCTTTAAAGTAATTGTCTGTCGCAAGTTATAATAATCATATATTTGTTGTAACTGATGTTCTGTCAGAAACAATCATGTAGTTAGCTATCGATTTATATTTAAATCGTCCAATGCCAAGGAAATCATTAGATATGTATTTGTTACCTTTTCTTTGCCAGTCTAGACAGTTTTTTTGTACTGTTTGTTCGAATCCTAATTCTTGACGGTCCATCAATATTATTGATTTTCTTATTCAGATCATTATCGATAATAATTTATTATTACTCATTCGTCATTCACATTTATTTAATGGTACCTAAATATTGTAAGATTAGCAATGAAATATTTTCAATTTCTTGCTCCAAAAAAGAAATTAATTTCTAATTAACCAACGGGTAGCATTTCAATTATATTATTCATGTAAATCTGTAAGAGATTTATCGATTACAAAAGTTAAAACAATTTTATGATCAATTTCTAAACAAACCAATTAGAACTGTAAGATATCTATACAATTTCACTACGAAACCATGTAATACGTTTATAAAAGGTAGAAATGGCAGCAATTTCGACCAAGAATGTTAGCTAATGTGTGCAAACTGCAAATGCATGTAATTACATATTTGATTACAACTTCCATTACGCTATTATAATATTATTCGCGTTACATTTCCGCTTGCTTTAATTTATACCTATGCAAAACACTCGCTTTCAAACACTTAAATCAGAGATATGTAGTGAAACTTTACTAACACACTTACTACTCTACATAGATGACTCTATCTAAGGCTATTCATTTCTATTATCAATAATAATCACTGAAGCCACTATTTGATGATTTCATCTAATAGAACAACCCTATGCAGGGTTAATCATCAACTTGTCATTAACGTACAAATATACTTTGTATATACGAATGCCGCAGTCGATCGATACCTGTGGTTCCTTTGATGTACCTGCTCAAAACTGACAAAAGGAATTTACGAGAAGTTTCCGGAAATAATCTGAAATATTCTATGATTTAAGTGGTCTAAATAGTGAGATAAATCTGTAGGGTGACATAAAAAATCGATTGTCTATTTATCGGATACTATATACTGTTGTTTCTGTGTTATATAAGTTACAATACATAAAGAATTACCCTGTTTATCGGCCAATGTAATTTCGTAAGAGCGTGAAAACGATCAGCTTTGTAAATGCAGGAAGGAAAAAATGGTAAAGGATTGTTGAAAGTAGAAATAAATAAATGTACCAACCCACGGTGGTTACGCGAATATGGTATCTACTAGTAGTATTTTTCTTTGTAGACCTAATTAATGGTAGAAACAGTCCAGTTATTGGACCAGTACGAACAGGACAAAACGGATTGTAACTCGCCTTGACCACAAACACTTTCTTAAATGTTTCTTTAAGTATATGTACAACGATATATAATTTATTCACCGACAATTATTTTTTTTAATTATTTCCGTAAAATATACCGGGAGTATTATTATTATCGTCCATTTAATTATAACATTTGTTGTCTTTTATAAAAATGAATGTGATAGAAAATGGAGTTCTAGATGTAACAACCCCAACCCCCTTCTCCCGCACCTAACAATTAAAAAATTATAGTCAATACTTTACAATACAATAAAAATACGAGACGAAAAATTAGAAGAGGTCGCTGATTTTAGGTATCTAGGAAGTCAGATAGGTCAGGACGGAAGGAATAGTAAGGATATAAATAGGGTTGCCACCCGTACTTTATTATAAAGTATTGTACTCTATTTCGATTGTGCGTACGTTATATTTTACAAGACACATAAAGTACGCAAAAATACTTTATTTAAAGCCTTAACTAAACATCGTAATTTTGTAAGCGATTATTCGAAATTCAGAGTATTTTTACATCAATAATATTGCACAATACAATAGTTTTTGAGAATGAACATTTACAGAAAGAGTATTCTCTGTTATGAACTCAAAGTGGCGGGACGACAGGAATAAAGCTTCATTAAAACAAATTAAAAATGAACTTTTAGTTTACTTAAATCTTTGTTTGCCATGTTTAGAGGCTATTAATGTATTTAAGAGCGACAGCAATTTGTTACAGGCTGCTAGGTGTAACAAAAAATACGTTTTTAAAAACAAAAAATAAAATACTTTATTTTTATGCCGAGTACTTTTTTTTTAACCTTTTAGTCGAGAAATACTTTATGTAAAGCCTGAAAAGGTGGCAACCCTAGATATTAAGGAAAGCATAGTGCAGGGTCGAGTCGTCTTCAATAAAAAGAAGCCACTTCTATGCTCGCGAACGATTAATTTAGAAAATCGAAAGAGATTGTTAAAGGTGTATGTTTGGAGCGCGGCGCTGTACGGGTGCGAAACATGGACGGTGGGCGAGGCGGAAAAGAAAAGGTTAGAAGCGTTCGAAATGTGGTGTTACAGGCGAATGATGAGGATAGCGTGGATAGAGAAAGTTAGAAATAAAGAGGTATTAGAAAGAATAGGGGATTACAGGACTCTATGAAAGTCCATAAAAAATAGGCGAGATAGGTTGGTAGGACACCTTCACATATTAGAGGCAGAAACAGGAGTTAAGAGGAGTAGAGGTAGACCTAGGTTAGATTACTGTTCGCGAATGGTTAAGGATGCGTTTTGTTATAGTTTTAGGGAAATGCGAAGATTAGCTCAGGATAGGAAAGACTGGAGATGCATGTCCAAGCACTCTTAGGACTGACGATCTTATGATGATGACTCAATACTTTAAGGATGTATAAAATTCAATCCTTATTTGTTTATGACTGTCCAACTCAACTAAAAGAATCATTTGATTGAAAACTTTAGATCAAGAAGATTAGTTGCTCGACATAGAATGTTAACTTACTATCTTTAGTAATAATCTTACAACTAGGATTAGCAAAATTGTTGACCGATTTTCCGATAGGTCACACATTTTCCTATACTTACACTACAACCTACGATCTTTTTCTGTGTCATTGTACTATATGCATACATGTACAAACAAAGTATGTAATAAAAGTGCACCATTAGAATAATTACTTATACCTAACGTAACCTGTGACCTTTAGGAACCAAATTTGTCTATCTGTAACTAATCCGGAGGTGTACCAACCTATTAAAATTAAAAACATCGAAAACGTTTTAATCCATGTGTTTACCCGGTAGATACCTACTGAATTTTGTCATTTTTTTGTTAGACTTTGTAACCATAGCCTTCCCCCAGGGGCTTATGCTTGTTCCTACGTGGCGTGGTCAGAAATATTTTACGGATATAATATGATACTGTATTCTTGTCTTTAACCTTGGCTAACTTATCTAACCATAACACAAAGAAAGGTGTCTATTATGATTATGTGCGGCTAACGTTAGGCAATTTTTTCTTACTTTTTTTCTTTCTTTAAAGATAATACGAATGTCATTTGATAAGTGTATACACCTGAGCGCTTCAACAATCACCGTAGGTACCTTTCTTGGGAGCAGAGACAAAAAAATACTCATATTAAATATTACACTACTTATATTTTTTATGTAATTATTTTATCATGCGATAACGCACCCACTCTATCGTCCTGATTACACTAAAGAGAAAAATACTTAAATTGTAATTTAACTTCAACACCCTGTCATTTATTATATTTATTTATTCCCTTCAGTATGTGATAACAAGACACATATGTAAGCCAATAAAGTTATTTATATTCCTACATATTATTTAAACTACATAAATAATCCAATAACTCACCATTTAATGCATTATCATTTGAGATTGTTCTGCTTTTTATAGAAACCAGAAGTAAAAGTTTTTATAATTATTTTTTTTTGCAATTAAATTAAAAAAACAATAAGCGAGTCAATTAAATCATTAAAGGAATTTAATATGAGTATAAAATATTGAAGTATCTAGTAAATTCTTTATAGATAAAGCACCTTTAGGTGTGGTAAATGATATGTATGTTAAAAATAAATCTTTATTGTAACTAATTAAATGTAAAATAAAAACAATTACTTACAGAATTTCAACTGTATCGTTTCTTGTATGTATAAGTATATCTATGTAAACAAGGACAACTGCTTCAAACGAGACAATACCCTTATTATATGCATAAATCTATGTATTTATGTTCGTATATAAGAACAACATTTTTTCTGTAAAATATTACCCCTTTTGTACTGGGTACTTCCTTTGTTTTATATAAATAGTTTAAAAAAAGAAGATAATATATAAAGTTTTGTAAATTATAAAAATATTTGTCCTTTTTTAAAATTAAAAAATTATAAATTTCTGTGGTAATAAGTGTCTAATTTAATTTTAATTTTTAAAAACAAAAAAAAAATGTGCTCGTCTACCTGTTCCAATAACAAAAACGACACACCAAACTATGTTTTCCATTTTCCGATTCGCCGAAAAACTACACACTAAAAACGCGAAAGTCGTCTTAAAATTCCCGCGTATTTTGTTTCAAATTATCCGATTTTCGCTTGCTTTCCTCAGGATTGTGCACGAAAATGCAAACAACGCACCCTACGACCAATAAGACCCACCAGTCGTGAACTGTCGCACAAGACAATTGCTATAAATGTGTATGTACATAGTAGGCTAGTAATAGTAATAGTAAAGCATAGGCAGACACGACTGTAATAAACATACACGTATGAAATAAAAGTATCAAGTAGGTGTTTTGTACAGGATATGTAGAGCAGAGCAAGTTGAGTGTAATTGTTGGAAGAAAAATTTGAAAAACGACAACTTTGTTACCTACTGGTTTTGATCCTTGCACCTTACACAATTGGAAAAATGTACAATACGGCGTGCAAATAATAACAATATACTAAATATATGCATAAATTAGAAAGGAAAAGCGTTACAAAAGTGTAGGAAACTTTTAAATGAAATTCAAAATCATTCAAGGCATTGTGACTTTCCACAATGACTTTCGAGTTAATAAATTACATATTTTAGGAATTAACTCCAACTATTGGAATCCGTCAAATGGGTATACACCATTTGGTGGCAAAATTTATAACTCGAATGAGGGAAAAATTTACATAGGAACTGTGCACGCAAATTGTAAAATTGTTTATTAAAATAATAAAACACGTTAAAAAAGTAAAAATTTTTTTGATGATGGAGTCGACGAAGTTTTCTTCTAAAGTTAAATCAAATAAAAAGTTAATATGTTCAGTGAAAAGCTGCAATAGCACTTCAGACATAGATCTTCACT